CTCGCGGACGGGCTTCCCAGCCAGCGTCCAGGTCTTGAGAATCTCTCCAAACGCCCGGCCTCGCTTGCTGGGGCTCTGGCCGCCGATGACTGGTGGCCTGAGCACCCGCATATGCCCTCGGTGGATCATGACATGGACCTCCCTCTCGCTGGTCTGCGTCGGCAGGACAGAGTCGATCTCGAGCTGGTTCCAGTGGTTGTTCCTCCAGACCCGGACGGTGGTCGTGCCGAGGGCACTCAGGGGGAAGACCGAAATGCACCTGAAGTCCTTGTCATGGTGTGGGTGCTGGACGTCGTGGCAATGCATCCGAAGTTCGGCTTCACGTGGCGAGACGAAGGGGGGTGCGTCCCCCAATGCAGCGGAGGCGGTAGTGGCCCCATCCCACAGCTCGCGGCGGAGCTGAGCAGCCAGGGCCTTTACGGCCGGCGCATCAGGCTCCTTGTCTTCCCAAAGCAGGGCGGCCGCGATGTGGAGAACCAGACACTGCCTGAGCTCTGCGTCGCCTTCCTTGAGGCCGAGCCGCGTCCTCATCTCTTCGTCGGGCTGAAGCTCGTCCTGGAAGTCGAGGTAGTCCCATTCCTGGTCTTGCACCGTGAGCTTCCCACGGCCCACTCCGGCCTCCTCGTCCCAGCAGGCCCCTCCAATGCTGAGGTCCTGGGTGCTGCTCCTCCCTGCCTTTGACCCCAGCTTGTCGAGGGCCCGACCGGCTTCTTCGGCGAGGGTTGGCCCCCCGTCTCGGGTCGCCTCCAGCAGTACCTCCTCCAAGCTCAGGGATATGCCCTCGGCGTTGGCACGTGCAAGCCTGGCCAGGGTGTGCGAGTGCAAGTAGTCGCTGATGTCGCCCAGCGTCGCGAGGGCCCCGCTCTCCAGGATCTTCTCGATGATGTTCCATCTTTCGAGAGCTGCTGGATGGGTCGTCTCGCCGGTCCCTTCCACCGCGGGCGCGTGGGCATGGGCGTCCAGCAACCAGTCCTCCTCGGGGCCCTGGGCGGCCTGCCTGAGCTCCTCCTCGAGGGCGGTGGTCTGGATATCGTCGAACGCGGCGGGTGGGGACCAGACA